GGCAGTGTTATGTCTTTTGATCAAATCTGAAAGAGAAAAGTAATTAAGACAACACACACACAAACTTTTTTCTATGTCCACTTGACCACTCTGATCACTATCTAAGTCTCCTTTTGGGTCAGGTACAAATGTGATATGATTCAAATACAGGAGAAATTATTTTTAATTTGTACCTCCATATGTTGCTGTACCCATCATATTGTTTTACAAGTATATATCATATAACAGCAAAAACCATAGTTACCATGTACTGTAGGTAGGATATACAACTCGTATAATTAAAAAGGACGTAGAGTATGTTTACCAATGTGAGCCATGATTCAAATTTTTAAGGGTCGCCATTTTGTCATTTTATTTACTGTTATAAGCAATAGATGTGAAATTTGGTTGTCTAAAATGCACTCACGAAATCACAGCAAAGAAATTGGCAGAAGGCATTTGTGCAGAAAATAAGTGAATGTTCCTGAAAATGCAAGCAGTTAAAGTATACCCTATCCAAAAGTGACGAAAAAAAATTAACAAATTTATTGAAAATCTATTAACCTATTTTTGAGCTCTTAATTTCTATTTTTCCATGATTAAAAATGAAATTCACCAGTCTCTCTCTATATATCCATCCACGAGTTGGTAAGAACTCAAAACTGGATTTATAGTGGTTTTGTATTACAATCTTAAAATTAATATATCTTAGCTTAATTTCATTGAATTGAATACTTAATCTCCACTTGAAATGATCACAATACCAGGTGTATTTCTGTCTGCTGTTCCTCTCATGAGACAATTATAAGAACTTTCATAACAAGTAGTACTTTTTGTAATTTTTTGCAAAGAAGTGGTTGAAGAACTATGAGAGAACAATGCATGGTTACTTGTATAATTATGGGAATTGAAATATCAGTGGTCAAATCATTTTTGAATTTATTGATATTGAACAGGGACAAATTTTACATTAATGATCTTCTTGAAAGCTTACATATCACTTTGGTTTGTTCCGTAAGAGAACTGCATATATATATTTTGAATCTTTGTACTATGTAAAAAGACAGAATATTACTTTTATAATAAAGTTAGATACTTAAAATTATCGATCAATGTTTGTCGCTTGCTAGAAGGTAGGTATGATTTTATTTGGCATGTTGCTGGTTTGTGTCAGGCATTTTTTTATTTTTCAAGCAGTGATAAGTACTTAAAAGAGGCCAGAACACGACATTAAACTGAAGAACAAAACACTTAATTAAATAATTGCATATTCCTGTCTAGAGCACCAGCAAAAAATAAATAAATAATAAAAATAAAATAATAAATAAATAATAATAATAATAATAATAATACAAACAACTAAATTAGAGTACTCTGCTTTATTTCAATTTACGTTTAGACTTCACAAAAATGCATACAACAAAGTAAAACAATTTTGCTCCTTCCACAAAGGACCAATACAACTCATGTATAACTTTTAGGAATGATTGATAAAATTAAAAGATTCCATCCTAATTCATGATAACAGAAGCACAATGTACAACTATGGTTTCAAGATTTTTTAAGTTTTGAGTTCAAAGCGGATTATTTGTTGTCTGCACAACAACAGCTGAGAATCATTTTATCTCCCAAACATCAATATGGGTGTAAATGGTTTATGACCAAAAATCACCTGTATTATATCTAATATGATATCACAATTCACAGCCTTTGACTGTGGAAAACAATGTAAAAACATATCACTTTTCCTTTTTTAGGCTATGGTGATGACTCGATCATTTCAAAAAGGAAAACTGTGAAGTTTACAGATACTGTAATTTTTAAAGTAATAAATTGAAAAACAGACTACCTAATAGTTCTAATCTATACAGTAAAAGCACCAAAAGGCTACGTAAAAATTAACTTTATATTGACTCCAAAATTATGTATACCAAAAATTGATGATTTTTAATGATCTGAGTCATAAACAGATACTAGTATTTTACCTATCCTAAAACAGATGGCACATGATCTATTGTAGTTCCCCGTATATTTGACATATATATCCAATCCACCCTTGAAAGGCACACCATTACTACAGGACAAAGATTAATCAAATCCCAGAAAAAACAGTTCACAATCAGATAAAAATATGAAAATGCAAGCAAGAAATCGATTTGATTTTATATTCATAAAAGAGTTTACCACATCACACAGCAGGCTGACCCCAGTATCACGTCCCTTCACTTCACCCACTTGCTTCCTCTGAAAATATTTATTTTTAGCTGAAAAGGGATTGAAGTGAAGCAAAAGAAATCTTAACTCCCTTTTACCACTTTCCTTTGAAATCCTTTAATTTTTCAAGAATACAAATGTGAAATTATCTTAATAAATTTTATCATAATAAATTCCTTGTTTTAGACAAGAAAATAATAAATGATTTCCTGTTTTTGAGAATCTTCACATGATATTTGGGTCAAAGACTTGCTGTATTCATTTGTCCAAACTGCACTGAAAACAATTCTAACAAAATATGGCAGAGGAACTGCTACTTTTATCAAAACAAATTGAAATAAAAATAGATTTTTGACTTAATAAAAGGATGAGATTCCGCTTAATACAACATCAAATGCAAGTGCAGAGACTGGTCTAGCAATAATTTGTAGGAAAATCCCATGAGTGGCTCTTTAAATTTGTTTTTCAGTAATACGCGACTAGGACTGTTCTCTGTAGCTAGAGTTTAGAGATTCTTGTATATCGAGATCTTATAACAAACATAAATAAAAATGTCTTAAAATAGCTAAAAAGAAACTAAAGAAGTTTGTGACTTGAATATATGTGTAAGATACAATGGAAAAATCCAAGATATTTTTAAATCATGCTAAAAAAGTCATTAACACAGTAAAAATTTCTTTGGTGGAAAATAAAGATAAAAGACTAAGGGATAGATAAATTAAATCTTCAAAGGAATGTAAAAGAAAACTGCAAACAAGGCAGATACATGTAGTACATATTTGATAGAAATACTTAAAATAGCTTACTTTAAAGGACATGAATTCCTAAAACAAAAAGGATATACATCAATATGTAAATCAATTCAGCAACATTTTCAAGAAGTAGCATACATCTAAACATGTAGATAGATATATTACACTTACTCAAAATATATTTTTTACAAAAATCAAACATAATTATTCAAAATAGTTATTGAAGTTCATTGTTCCAATCATAATATCACTTTGGCCTTTTGTGGTAAGGGGAATTCTCAACTTGACCCTTACGGACAGTAATCTATTTAAATATGCATTGATCCTTTCATCTTCATCATACAGTACAACTAGTCCTTACATTGAATATGTGTTCCAAATCCTCAGATATTATACATCGTGGATTGGTAACTAACACCACCAAGACCCCAATCACAGAACTAAATACATCCAGGAAACCCAGGAAATTTTCAAAGTTTTCCCATCTTTCCCAAATATCACCTTATGGATACTGCTGATGATGCTCTTGTGCCACTAAGGCCATAAAACTTCCCTCAATGACTTAGAAAAATTCTCTTCTCTGATTAGTGTAGCACCGCTGGGAATCTTTGTCGTATTTTCATTCACTTGGGGCCCACTGAGTTTGCTAGTCTCTACAATCAGACAAACATGACCATTTGCTTGGCCAATGATAAAATAGACCCCATTCCCACAGATTTTAGATAGATCTATCCCTGTTGGAAGTCTCACTAGATTACTGTCAGCTTAGCCGGCTTAAGCGTCTGTCCTGCCTACTAAAAGCTGTAAGGGGGTAATTAACTGTCGTGCTCCCTCGGCTGACAGCAATTTATCCCCAGGGAGTTAGGTCGATCTTGATAGATCGATCTAATTCTATGGGAATGCACTCATAGACTATGACTGGTTATGGATACAACTGATTACACTTGGATTGCAAAGATGACACACATCGAGTTTCATTAGTAGTTTGTTTTCACAACAATCTTAAAATTTAAATCATTATTTTTATCCAGGGTAGTTGTGGGTCATTTTTGTCACAATATTGCTGGAATGTGTGCTGAATTGTGGTTAAAGTTGCAGATGGTCAGGATGAAATTTCAGTTCTGGACTGCCCGGGCTGGTATGCTGGAAAATAAATAAATAAATAAATAAATAATAATAATATATCCTTAAAGAATAATGATTATTATCTTAATTGTGATAAATATACAGGGATCACCATGAGTGCACACCTCCACCAAGAAAAAATGTGAATCAAATTAAGTAAAAAAAATAATAATAAAAATTAAGAGACTGGGATTCAGTTGAAATTGTTATCATTTTTCTTTCCCTCTTAAATAAATGTTTATTCTGTAAATTTAAACAAAAATTTTAAGAACTTTTGGGGATATGTTGTCCACAAACAAACTGACAAATAAAACAAGGATGAAAACATAACCTCTTTTTTTAGCAGAGCTAATTATTGTAGGATCTATCAGGATATAGCCTCTATTTTAGCCAACTAACCCATACCTTTACATTAAGCGACCTCTGAGCCTCTATTTTAGCCAACTAACCCATACCTTTACATTAAGTGACCTCTGAGCCTCTATTTTAGCCAACTAACCCATACCTTTACATCAAGAGGCCTCTGAGACTCCCTTATAGCCAACTAACCCATACCTTTACATTAAGTGACCTTTGAGCCTCTCTGTCATCTTCCAGGAGTTCCGACTCCCAGTCCCCGCCTTCCTCCTCAGGATCGTAGCTATACACTGGCATCATGGCATGACGTAACTTGTCAATTCTGAAATTAACAACGTGATCATTCAGAGAGATAAGCACACCTCTTAAAAAGAAAAAAATCTGTTTTTGAGTTCAGTGCAACTTGTTAAAATAAACAAAGTATTTTTTGTTCCTTCTTGACCCCTCAAAAAAAAAAAAAAAAAAAAAAAAAAAAAATTGGAGCACTTTCACCTGTGTGTCTCATATCAACATTTTCTCTCTTTAAAGGGAAATATCTTAAACAGCAGGTGCAAGAGCGCAGCGGTGGAGAAGTTGGGGGCAGTCTTCCCCTTTATCTGCCTCCTTTAGTTGACATTTTCATTATCAAACCTGTTAACTTGATACTAATGGGATTTCAGGAGACGAAGGTTGCATGTTACTGCAGGAAAATATTGATTTATGGTCACCCTTACCTTTTACGTCGTACTATGAATATAATCTGAAGTAAGAAAAAAATCATTGTGTTATTGAAAGGTCTATGTGGCATTGAAAAAAGGATGAAAAAATTGGAAAAAAAATCTAATTTCCTCTTCAATTAACTGACTTATCTCAATTACTGTCTAAACATGTAAAATATTCATACTGATGTACACCTGGCAGGAAATGATAAAGATATTTAAACTTACAAAAATATGAAAATCGAACTCAAATTATTTGACTGTCAAGTTATTCATTCAAAAATAACTGGCATTATATTATCATCGTTTCCTTTGCCTAGAAACAATTTTTAAGTTGGACATTATAATTAAATGTGCAAATGATTGAAAATCTGGCCTTACTGGTCAATTCTTTAAAATCATATTTCTGTACAGTGGTATATTATCTAGTTTTTTTCCTCACCAAAAATACTGCCAATCCAATGATAAACAGTGTTGCCAAAGGTATCAACACATAGGCCAATGCACTGCTGACATGAGCCCCAGATGATACTGTTGCTGTCGTTGTTGATGTTGTTGTCATCGCCAATGTTGTGGTTGAAGATGGCTGCAGGGCGACCTGGATAACATGAAGCCCCGTGCTACTTGTGTCGTTGGCACTACCGTATCCTATAACAGCATTGGAGCGTGCAGCTGTTGTGCCCGCCATTACAGTTGTGCTAAAATTCATTGTGGTAATCTTCGTTAACACCGTTTATAAAACCTGTAAATACAAAATCTTACTTTTATGATCCAAACATGTAACGCTTGTTTCTCCTGTTTTTTTCAATTCATATCGTAAATGTCACCATGTATTCAATATCTTCTCAACCAGTTCTCGTTTCCTTTATGGAAAGCAACATGATCCTGATACATGATGTATCAATAATAACTGATCACCCACTATCAAATGAAAAGTGAATCACTGTGAAGGTTAAACTGGTATTGTTACAGGCAGTCAATTAGAAGATTTGTGTTTAAAAGGTTGTTATGTACACCATTCAACAAATTGCCAGCTTTGCTTTCATTTGGTAAAAAGAAACTGCAAGTAAATTACAGTAGGCCAGTAATACAAAATAAATCCTATTCCATTAAAAGTGATACATTACATAGAAATCCATGCATACAGAATAACTCAATCTTGGTTAGACAGTCTTAATTTTTTTTTTTTTTTTTGTGTTTCTGTGAAATTATCTAATAGCACATTAACACAGCACAGAACTGACAAGTAACGCCTGGGCTTCTTCAGCTCCAAGACTAATAAAAAAAAATAGGTATGTTCAAAATCACCTCCAAGGATGGAAATATAACTGGTGACGATATTTCAGATTAATGTGAAATTCCTTTGCTGAAAACTTGTCTACAAGCAAAAAATGCCCATGTGTGAGTCTTAATGTTGAAACGACTAGGGTTTCTCCTCATCAAACAGGATGTATTCTTCTATGCAGAATATGACTGCCAAAGGCTCTAATAGATATGTTTGAGAGTTCCTTGATGTCACTGATAATATTCACTTACGAAACATTTTCTTTCCTGTGTGGCTCCTGAGAATATGTCTCCAATTTAAATATAAAATCATGATCTTTTTCATTAATGATCGACTTGAAACACAAAGCCTGAAAGAACAATCTTATTTTTAGAATATTCACTTTTCTATATTATTCAGGCTATGTCTGCACTTAATTGTTTCGTGACTTTGAAGCACAAGTATAATTGGCGAACTGGATTCTTGTACATCAATGCTATTTTTAAATTAAGAGCACTGCCTTTCAATTTGTCACTGTTCAGACTCTCATAACTAAGGTGGGACACCTGCTTAAATTAAGAGACAAATCAACCCTGCTATTTTAAATGCGGCTGAGTTTCCAGATCCTGTAGCTGACAGAAGAGAGTTGTTTCTATTTTCAAAAGAAGATCTGATGTGAAATACTTAAGTGGGGGTGGGGGTGGGGGTGGGGGGGGGAGAACATTTGAAGATTTTCCGAGTCAGAAACACATGGACAAATGATTAGCTTGAGATACAGGTCCACTTGGCTGCCTCCTTTTTTTGTCTATTCTCAAACAGAAAAGAAAGAATAATGCTCAACAAGAGTAGGAAAATATCCACTGATTGAAGCAACTTCCTGGTCAAATGTGGACCGTATCTACAAACACATGCCCTGTCTTGCTTCTGTTCTTCAATATCAATTATCACCCGGGATCATGAACTATACCTGATCATGAGCTGCTGTAAACTGCAGACAGAACCCAATTGATTTCTTCCACTTCTACCTGCTGTGAATCATATTGCATTGTTCTGTGTAAGTACTAGTACACTGGTGCCAAGTTGACTTGTGCTACTGGAATTGCTCACTAGGTCTCTGCGAGCCAGAAATGTCTCGTCTCCGAGAGATGATATTTCAAATGCACTTCATCTTCCTGAAAAAATTCAAGAAAAGGGGATTAAATTTTATGATATATTGTGATTGCCACATCTGTTAGTCTTATTTTTCGAAAATGAGACTTGGACTTCTGAGGCAAGCCCACAAAATGTAAAATTTCCACTGTGGAAAAATGTTCTGCTGTACAAAACGGACACCAAGCTTATAGTAGTAAACCCTTTCACTTCAATCTGAACTGTGCCTTTATTAGTTTTCCTTCATTAACTGGGATACTGGTAAGCAAATCTAAATCAAAATTACTTTCTTAATAATTGCATTGATATCACTTTTTCTTGATTGTTATGAAGTCATGATTTCTCTTTCACCAAGACCAGTGCTTGAACTGGAAATCAATACTGTGCAATTATTCTCCCTGCCACACATCTCCATTACGTTGTCATGAATACCTGGGAATTACCTATACGTAATGGTTTCAGTCTCGATATAAAATTGCATTAAGTAAAAATGCTTCATAGCATATGGTGAGTAAATGCTACAATTATTGTGTTCAGTCACTATTCAGAATCTGATTAGCATACAGAAATATCTATAGTCATGTGACTTAACTTGTACTTATGTAAAAAAAAAAAAAAATCTCACGAATAATGACAGTGTGGTAATGAAAAAATAAGTTGACAAAATTCATCACTGGATATTTTTTCTGGTTATTTTGTTCTGTTAATGTGCTCATATAATAATAACCAGTTTAAAAGAAAGAGGCGTGTCATTCAGTCAAGCTGATTGCAGACAGCTAAAAACCCTGCAAAAACTCACATATAATCATGTGTCAGTAACAAGTACCAATATCTCAGTGTCTCTACAGTACAATCTTAATAACAGTCTAAACAAACCCTTTATTAAACTCTGGTATGAAACAAACATTGCAGACTTAATGATAATTTGTATGGACTGTATATGGACAAGTAGAACAGTGGACAACAGTGGTACAAGCCTTATGTGCAATCCCCCAAGGAGCAAACTGGATAATAATTTTGATTAAATAATTTAAATTTGTGAAAAATGTAGTGCCAGACGCAAGGTAGAACCGGCCGAATAACTCAGGAGGTAGAGCACTTGCCCTGTTAGCGAGAGGTCCTGGGTTCGATCCCTCGTCTGGCATGTGGTTTTTACACTCTCCCAAAAATGCACTACAAAACAAAAATGTGTTCTTTGTGATGTATTTAAAAAAGCCTAGTTGCTTACAGTACTCAACAGAGGTACCTGGAAAGTCTTAGATCTCTATTCTCTGCATGGTTCTAGTAGCAGCCATGCTGAGAGTGACACAGTATCTCTGTATAAAGGTGTTTCCATGGTGACCCTTGACACTCAGGGTGACAGTGTGACTGACACTGCCAGTGTTTCTCATACTGTTAACATGGGATGGCCAATTCCCAACACTTTACCCCCCCCCCCCTCCCCCAGGGATGTAAATCCATTAACATTAAAAGCTTTAAATTATGAACTGAGTTTATTACACATGAATTAAATCCTTGTGTTAAACCTCTTACAAGTTACATAAATTGATACAAGCTCTGTGATTGTGAAAAAATCAGCTGGCACTCGCAACAGCAGTGGAAATATTATATCTTCATTTGTCTAACTCTGTCAATTTGCTCGTTTAACCCTTCACTAGAAAATCAAAATCCATTTTCATACGATGAGATAATCACAGGCAACACCCATTTATATTACATACTTACCGGCAAGAATTTCATATGATGCTGCCTCGCTTTAGGAGAAACCGGCAATCCAGGTCAGAAACGGCAAATTAGGACACAGGCAAATCAGGACAGTTGTAAATAGATGGCGCAGCAGTAGAATATAAAGGACTGTGCTTTTCGGTGCAAAGATGAAAGATCGCTTTCGTCGGAGACAACAATGCATTGTATTATAAAGGATTAAATCTATTTACATTTTTCTTTTTACATTTTTCTTTCTACAGAGTTTGGAAATATTTTATATCGGCTTATATAGATATTATAAAGATATAAATTAAAGTGGTTTGGGGAAAAAGAAATGTTGGGGGCCTATCTTGAATTTTTGCAAGGGTTTAGATCTATAAATATGTGTGTTCAGTCTCTTTTTAAATAAAAGAGAAAAATAACAGATAAATTAAAATTTATCAGAGTTTTATTTTGTTGATATCTAATAAGAAATTAAAAAAGTAATAGTAAATATTTATTCATTATCCTCTTTCCCTCTCCTCAAGCTCTGAGTAAGCGTAATGGAAACCAGATGTGAAGAGTGACAATTGCCCTCGAGTGCCCAGACTCCTAGTCCCACGCCTATGGGGACCCCCCCCCTTTAAATAACCTGTACCCACACCTGTGCCCCCTCCCCCCATTCACAGAATCATTGATCCGCCCCTAGACACATATACTATATAGGAAAAAACTAATAAAACTTATTCTAGCTGAGACACATATACTATATAGGAAAAAACTAATAAAACAGCATATTTAACAGGACCCTAGACTTTATTAATTCAAAATATATTACCATCATCAACAACAAAAAGGCAAACATTTTCAGAACAAAATAAAACAATGTTGAACAGATATTAAATATTCTCCCGAATCTTACTGATACCACAGCCATTACAAAAAGCGAGCGCAGGACTTGACAGGTATTTAAGCCCCCCCCCCCCCTTGCTTCTTCACACATCTCTCTTTCTCTTTCTCTCTCCCTCTCCTTCTTACACACTTTCTCTCTCTGATCTTTCAAAAGGTTTTCTGCTTTAATTCCTTAATTTATTTTTTGCCTTTCTCTACAAGAAAACATATTTTTAAAAGAAAATTTAACAGATACGCTGTATGGGACATTTAACAGACACACTGTATGTCTAGGAGACATTTCTTTTCACAAATCATAGTAAAATATATAAAAAAAAGAAAATAACAGTAATATTAACGTAAAAGATTTACTGTCCTGATTTGCCGTTTTCTCCCAAATGTAATTGATACCACATGTGTGGAAAAGTCATTAGAAAAAGCGAACGCAGGAGTTGAAAGGCATTCAACTACCCCCTCTTGCTTTTCCCCACGTCCCTCTCTCTCTCTCTCTCCCTGTCGCGTGCGCTCGCGCGCACACACGCACACACACACACACCCTTTCTTTCTCTGATATTTCCATACGTTTCCCTCTTCAATTCCTTAATTTATCTTTTTCTTTTCTCTACAATATTACATATTTTTGAAAGAAAATAAAAGTTTTGTGGGACATTTAACAGTTACAATGTATGTCTAAGGGACATTTCTTTTACAAATCATTGTAAAATGTGGACAAAAAGAAAGTAATAATAATATTAAAGTAAAAGATTTACTGTCCTGATTTGCCGTTTTCTCCCAAATGTAACTGATACCGCATGAGTAAAGAAGTCATTACAGAAAGTAAACGCAGAAGTTGAAAGGCATTTAAGCCCCCCTCCTGCTTTTCCCCACATCTCTCTCTCTCTCTCTCTCTCTCTCTCTCTCACACACACACACACACACACAATCAAACACCCTTTCTCTCTCTGACCTTTCAATACGTTTTCCTCTTTAATTCATTAAATATCTTATTCATTTCTCTATAAGAAAACATATTTTTAAAAGAAAATTTAACAGATACGCTGTATGGGACATTTAACAGACACACTGTATGTCTAGGAGACATTTCTTTTCACAAATCATAGTAAAATATATAAAAAAAGAAAATAACAGTAATATTGACATAGTAAAATATATAAAAAAAGAAAATAACAGTAATATTAACGTAAAAGATTTACTGTCCTGATTTGCCGTTTTCGCCCAAATGTAATTGATACCACATGAGTGGAAGAGTCATTAGAGAAAGCGAACGCAGGATGTCAGGGACCATAGTAGAGAAAAAAGTGTAATTAGTACTATTAAAACTTTCATACTTGGTGTAGTATTAATTCAATCAGAGGAAGCCATTGTTTGATAAAATTCACACATGGGAAGCCAAGTTGTACAAGTTGTTCAGATAATGCTTCACACCTTGCAGTTCAAATTTTTATGTCCTTTGTTCCGAAGTCGGTAATCTGTCAGAATTAAATTACAGGGTGTTATTAGGAGTGCCCACCTGGAAGAAGGTGGACTTGTGTATGAAGTAACCAATCAGTTTTTAAAGTTATGTGATGGACAGTTCAACTGATAGAGTTACGCATAAAACCTTTAAACAAGAATCTAGGAGGATATTAGAGAGAAGGAGGGAGGAGAGTAAGATGTAGAGGAGGAGTAATATGTAGAAGTGAGACTGAATAGCTAGAGGAGGAGTAGAGAAGTCATACTTGTATCATGTAACTTTAAGTGTAGCAAAATATATTCTGTTGAAGTTACAACATGGAGTCGTTTCATTCTTTTCCGTGTGCAGAATTTAAGACAAGGAACCTGGGAATCTCCGTAGCAGTATTATAGATAGCGTTATCCAAATATGTGAGCCCATTGAGCCCAAACCCTGGGGATTTAATATTAAAGGGTCATTTTAGGTAATGTGGGGCCCTGGGATGGTCGTAAAGGGGTTCCCCACAAGGAGTTGAAAGGCATTCAACTGCCCCCTCTTGCTTTTCCCCACGTCTCTCTCTCTCTCTCCCTGTCGCGCGCGCTCGCGCGCACACACGCACACACACACACTCTTTCTTTCTCTGATCTTTCAATACGTTTTCCTCTTCAATTCCTTAATTTATCTTTTTCTTTTCTCTACAATATTACATATTTTTGAAAGAAAAAAGTTTTGTGGGACATTTAATAGTTATAATGTATGTCTAGGGGACATCATTTTTTCACAAATCACTGTGAAATGTGAACAAAAAGAAAGTAACAATAATATTAATGTAAAAATTTACTGTCCTGATTTGCCGTTTTCTCCCAAATGTAACTGATACCACATTCATGGAGAAGTCGTTAGAGAAAGCGAACGCAAGAGTTGAAAGGCATTCAACGCCCCCCCCCCTCCTGCTTCTTCACACATCTCTCTTTCTCTTGCTCTTTCTCTCTCTCTCC